TGTGTCCATGTCTTAGAAAGTGCTCCTAGGTGGCCGTTCTCTTATTTGCTGGGCTTCAAGAATTGGTGGCCCTGAACCCCCAAGGGTCCTAGGACCCCTGCTGGCTATAGACAAGATCTGAGTAGAGCCCTGGGTAGACTCAGTTTCCTTCTGGCTCTAGGGGATCCATAGAAACAGAGACTGGTCTGGGACACTGTGGTAGCGATTGGGTCACATCTTCTCTCTAGGTTGGATTAGCATCTCTAGTAGAGTCACTTCAGTGAACCCAACATCTTGACATTAAAGCTATCTCACACCATGGAGTGTCTGGAGTGGTGAGGTCGAAGTCTACCCCAGGGAATAGTGGTGTGGGGAAGCCTCAAGAGATGTGTTCAGAGTGTCCTGAGCTTCACCTGGAGTTAGAGAGGGGCGTGGTATCATGAAATATGTATTTGATCTTCCTCCTCTTTTCCTGAGGTATTCTTAGAATCTCTGGAGTGATAAGAGTGTCTTTGTATGCAAATGAGATGACTGGTATCTAGGGGCTCCTAGATTGCTTAAGGATTTGGCTGGTTGCCAGAGTAATCCCATGATTAAAGGGCTGAAACTTAACAGTATTCCACCCTCCCACCTCTGGGAGAGGCTGACGGTTGAGCCAGTACATCAATGGCTAGTGATGTAGTCAGTTATGTCCATAATGAAGCTTTCATTAAAGACCCAAAAGGACGCCAGGTGTTATGGCTCACACCTATAATCCCACCACTTTGGGAGGTCAAGGTGGGAGGATTGCTTCAGGTCAGGAGTTTGAGACCTGCCTGGGCAACATAGCGACACCCCATCTCTAATTTAACAAAATTAATAATTATCCAGGTGAGGTGGCTCATGTGTATTGTCTCAGCTACTCAGGAGTCTGAGGTGGGTGGATAACTTGAGCCCAGGAATTTGAGGCTACAGTAAGCCATCATCAGGTCATCGCACTCCAGCCTAGGAGACAGAGCAAGACCCTGTCTCTAAAAGCTTTAAAAAAAAAAGTACAAAACTCCAGAGGACTAAGTTCTGGGAGCTTTTGGATAGCTGAGCATGCAGAGGTTCTTGGGGAGTGGCACATAGGTAGGCTTGGCAGCTCAACACGCTTTCCCACGTGCCTTGCCCTGTGCACCTCTTCTGGCTGGAGGTTCATTCGCATCCTTTGCAGTATTCCTTCCTGTCTGTCTGCAGGAAGGTGATATTTGTCTCTCTCAGGTTATTATTAATAGTAACTTTCAACGCCAGTGAATGGTGTGACATCTCACTGATCTGTGATTTTAGCTGTCCTGGATTTGGGGTTTCTGAGAGTAAGTCCTTTCTCTTTCTGCTTCTGTGAAGTAGCCTCTTTCTTAGGGGCTGCTGACTCATGCTCAGCTTCATGCCAGCCTCTCATTTTACTTTCTCTCTTATGCTGCCTGTGTTGGGAGAAAAGAGGCACAGTGAAGCTTCTCAGCCCATTTGCTACCACAGACAGCAATAGGCTGGGATGGGGTAGGACAGGGTCAGTGGGTAGGGTAGGGAGAGGGACCCCCATTGCCCTTGGGCTTTTTCTTTGGGTTGATAATGATAGTTCATTCATCCTTCACCTCCATGCGACCTTGAAAAAAATCACTCTGTCTGAGCGTCTGTGACCTCATCTGTGCAACTCCTTTTAAAAATTATTCTTAGAAGAACCCTAGTGAATAAGATAAGCAAAAGTGGAGCTCTGATGTGTTAATCCTCGCCCCTCCACACCAGCTCAGGGGAGCCTGAGAGGGTTACTGAGGCAAAGGGGCCTGCAGTACTCCCTCCAGGCCCCTGGCACACCTTTCCCAGGACTGCTGCTGAAGGCCTTGTCACCTCACTAGTCCTGTGTGAATCCTAACACCCCTCCTGTCCTACTGGTGCCCTCTCCACCACCCAGTTCCTCACCCCCAGGGCTGGAAGGGACATCAGTGGGGTAAAACCTCCGGGTTTGCTGTCTGCTTCATGGTCCACTACCTCTTGTTGGAGGGGTCACCTGACTGCACAGAGATGAGGAATGGGGGCTGCTCGCTTATGGGTTATCGCTTCTTTTTTCTTGATCCCAAGAAAAATTTCCAGCCTTCTAGACAACTCCCACATACTCTGTCTCCTATTTAAGTGCTGTTTTTCCTCCTAATGAACTCTGGTCTTCAAATGGAGCTGGGAGGAAAAACAAGGACCATGGGAATATAAGAATCCTTGGTGAATTACCTCGTATTAATGAGAACAAGAAGAGAAATTGAGTTCAGCTCTGCAAATTAGTTTTGTGTTCTGGGCCTTGATGCCTTAAATTGCAGATTCTAATTAAATGTCCCCAAATAACTATGAAGTGCTTCTAAGGTCTTTTTGACCTAAAATTTCTGTGACCTGTGAACTATCTCAGGTGTAAAATTAGTCTGTAGATGTACCCCTTTAAGCATTTCTATCTCCAGAAACCTCACAATGCCTAGTATGTAAACTACCGTCCTAAGGGCAGATCAGGCAGGTGGAGTGGGCAGGGACCCTGCAGGGAGAGGTGGAAAAGGGTGGGCATGGGTGAGTTTTGGAGCATCCCCAGGGCTGGCAGAATGTTGGGGTACACATGTGTCCCTCTGTTAGGTGGCCTGTCTCCACTGTCACAAGTGAAGGGGATGACCAACACCTTCACTAACAGGCTGAGCAGGGCAGCAAGGCAGGCAATGGAATGCTGGAGACATACTGGGTAAATGTTCAAGAGCGAAGAGCCTCTTCTTCGAGCTGAAGTCATGCCTAGGGTGCTGCCCTGCAGGGGTGCAATCTTCAGTGACACAAGACGGTGGCCATGAGAGAAGGAACAAGACAGTTAGTTCCCCATGATCACATCCCCAGCATGGCTATCGTCTTGATGCAGCCTCCTGCTGGCTGTCCCCTCTGTACAGTATCTCTTTAAATGTCTACAAACAGAGCAAAGATAGGCGATTTCCTTAAAAACACGTGATGTAGAACAGACTTTTTTTTAAATGCAATGCTGTTTTGTATATACCTTGTTTGGGGGTATAAAAATCACATGTGTGCAGCTCAGTGAATTTCACACAGTAAAGTCTGTGTGCAATCTATACCCAGATCATTTCCAGAGCCCCAGAAGCCCCCTCACCCTCCCCAGTCAGTATCTACCCCTTCAGGATACCACTCTCCATATTCCGAATCCCATAGATTCGTTTGGCCTGTGCTTGAACTTTGTATGAATGGATTCATTTGCCTAGAGTTATATTAACTTTTCCCCTTGACATTGTTTCTGAGACTCATCCCATTGTTTCATCTGTTCTACTGTTGATGAATGTTTGGGTTGTCTCTAGTATCCTACTGTGAACATCACTGCTACAAACCTTCTCTACAGGCTTTTGGGGAGCGTAACTGTGCTTTTCTGTTAGCAATTCCCCCTGAGTTGTATGCCAGGTCACAGGGTAGGAATATGTTCAACTTAAATAGAGGCAGCCAGTTTTCCAGCATGGCTGACCATTTACACTCTACCAGTAGAGTGTCACTTCCATTGACTCCACATCCCTAGCAGCACTAGGTATTGTCTGTCTTTGTCATTTTTGCTGTTCTAGTAGTTGTGCAGAGGTATCTCACAGTTTCACTTTGCATTTCCCTGATGACTAATGGGATTGAAGAACTTTTCATGTGTCTGTTGGCTTTATTATGATCATTTTGATAGCCGAATAATAGTGTGTCTTATGGATGGTTGAGAACATTCTTTTCTTATCTATAGCTGGGCATTTGGATTGCTTTATTATTGTAAGTAATGCTACAATAAACATTTTTACCCAGCAGTCTTTTCCATGTTCTAGACTACTGGCAAGGGTTTTGTTATTATTTACAAATTTTGATAATCAATGCCAGATTGCTTTCTAAATGTTTGAACTACTCTAAGATGTGATCAGCAGTATAGGGGAGTCCTAGACAGCTTCCGCCAGATCCTCCAGCAATGTGTATTCTCATTCAAGAACAAACAAAACTCTCTTGGAGGATGTTTGCAGGTGGAGGAAAGTGTATTAAGCATTGTGTTACTTAGTGAGTTTGGTCACATTTTCAAAATGTTTACCATGTGTATTCCTCTTTTATGCATTTTTACCTTTTGCCACTTGCATTTTGGTGCGTTTTTTGTTAATGTGTACAAGCATTACTGTAAAACAGAGATATTAGTACTGTAAGTACTTTCCTGTTTTACCAGTTGTGTCGCATATTGTTTCACTTGTGCGCCTTTTGATGCTAACCAGTGAATCTTGCCCTTGGTGATTTTTATTTTGTTGCTCCCCCACCAGGCCACTGCCCTGTCTACAGAGATGCCCAGGCTGAAGATCCCTGGGCACTCCTAGTGGGAAGGATAGGAGCACAGCCTGCAAGAGAAACTGAGTCTGCCCTGGGCCAAGCACTCTGCTTTTGCTGTCATCTGATTCCCTGACCCTGGCGCTTTAAGAGGGATGGCTCATGAGCTGAGCCCTGAGGCCTGCCCAACAGCCCCCTTGGTGCTGGGACTAAGTGGGGCCTGGGGCCCCAGCAGCAGCAGCAGTGTGGGAGTCTAGTGGAGTCTGCAGAGCACTCTCCTGTTCATGCACACTTGGTTTTCATTATAGCCCCATGAGTTGGGTGCAGCCCATCCATCCTGAAGGGAAGGGCCTTAGAGGGCCCTGCAGCTTCTCCCAGGGCCTGCAGTTTGTGAGTGGGGAAACTGGACCTAGATTCTTATCTCCTCATGTCCCTAAACCATACCCAGTTGCCCACTTGGCTCTTTAGGACAGGCCTAGACTCCCCCAATAGATCAGCCCTGCAGGGGAGAGGAATATGTGCTTTCTCTTTCTTATTTTTTGGGGTTTGAGCAAAACTTGTATTTTTGAGCCAGAAGGTTAGATTGGGGTATAGAGCTCAAACTAACATGGAGTAGCTCTTGGCCTCTCTACATTTCTAGGCATTGCATTCTCAGGAACTTCATGTTTGACCAGCCTGTTAAGTTTTTGCTTTCTTATTTTTAGATGATGGATTTGGACATGCTTCTATGAAGAAATGCCACATGGTCCAAGAACAAACATGTCCAGTAAGTTGTTTGATGAATTAACCCAAGGACAGGAGCCCAGGTTCTTCAGGCACAAGGTGTGGATACCCTTTGGGAAGACAGGGCTGTCTCTGGAAATATGAAGACCTGTGAGAAAGTGTTTTAAAGTAGGCTTATAGTCAGTCTAATTATCTTCTAAAGGTTAGTTCTTTCTAGAGACAGCAGGAGTTGTAGCACATAGGGTGGGAAAAACCTAAAACTCCCTTCTTGCTGCTTAACCTAGTTGTGAGAGCAGAGTGTGGGTTCTGGAGCTCTGAGCCGTGTGAAGTGTCTGATTCAGCCTGTGGCGGTGTTATACTTAGAGCCCTCCACCTCCACAGCACAGCACCCTCCATTTCGCTTAGGCCTAGATTACATGCTTTGCGGGAAGGAAAGCCTGAGATCCAGACATACATGAAGTTTATGCAGCTCTGGGAAGAAAGCCAGCAGGTTAAAGTTGTGAGCTTTGTCTCGCTAGTGTTTTGCCACCTGGATGTAGCCCGTGGGCAGCAGACTCTTCTGCAGATCTCACCCTTCTCACAGAGATTGTGGTGAATTGATTTAAAATTTTAAATGTTCTATGAGGCTTGCCAACAGAAGAGCATAATAAAGAAAATCTCGAAAGCCATATTTTATGATTATGTGAAAACCATCATTCACTGTGGCATATCTCCGTTGAAGACGACAGGACATCCTCAAGGGATCAAGGGATCCCATGGACACTCTGTGTTGGGGAGTAAGGAGGAAGAAGTGACCAGAACGGGCAGGGAGCAGTGGACTGTTCATCCTGGTTCCTCACATGCTGGGGAACCCTGGTCACTGTACCCTTCCCGCATTAGATCACGTTCTTTCTAAATGAGAACATGATGCCTCTCCATCACCATCCCCGTGATTTCTTACCAGTGTTTGCTCCTATTTCTCAGGGCTACTGCCACTTTAGGGGAATAGGGCTCAGTGCCAACGCTTCCCGGGTTATCAGGCGTGGTCTGACCCCAGGATCAAGAAGCACATCACCAATGACATCATGACAGCAAGAGAGCACAGCCCTCGCCATGGTGCCAGGGCCCGTGCAATGCAGCGGGCTTCTACCATCGACGTGGCGGCCGACATGCTGGGCCTCTCTCTGGCAGGTGAGCCTCACAGGGCCTGTACCAGGCTCCAGGTGTGAGCTCGCAGAGCATGGCTTCACATTGTGGCAGTGCTGGGAGGTACCTGATAAGTCCCCATGACTACCCTAGATTACAGGGTACCCTAGTTTAGCATCCTTCTGGTTGAACCAGTAAATAGGAAAGGGGTCGTCAGCCCTCTTCCTGTGAACCGCTTTTGCTGGAGCTTGACTATGTTAGTTTTCCAGTTTGCGGGGGGGCACCACCAGGATAGTGTGGGAATGTCCAGGTGTCTGGCTAGCAAATGCCCAGGCCATGGTAAAAGGCCTCCCTGTTGTTGATGTGTAGACCCAAGGAGGAGCGGGGGTTTGGTTGTGGGGTCAGGGACTTCATAGCAATCTCAAAAACAAAATATTTTTAAAATGAAGAAATGGTCTTGCATGACAGTTTTTGTTGTTGTTCTTGGGGGGAAGTAAAGGGTTATTTGTGCATTAAGTCTGAAAAAAGCGAAAAGTTTATTAATGGTGATTTTTCTTTCATTTCTTTTCTATTTAGGAAATATACAAGACCCAGATGAGCCCATTTTAGAATTTAGCTTAGGTAGGTATCTTTTTATTATTTTTTTTGTTTAAAAAAGTATTTTACTTAAAAATGAAAACAAAAACACTACCACCAGTGCATGGGCTTGTCTCAGAGAGCTTGCTGCTGCCGCCAACCACTGCTTCAGTGTTTCTGAGAAGACAGGGCCCTAGTAGCTGCGAACTTCTGTGGGTGAGAAGGCACCTTGGAGGCTGTGTGCCCATGGGCCCTCAGCATGGGGCCCGCCCTCTGGGGGTGTGCTTTCCACAAGTGGCTGAAGACAGGGAGGTAAGCCCACTTAGAGAGCTGCCAACAGAGCCCCCCCACCTTCTCCCACCCCAATGGGAGAAAGGGAAGGAGGAGTTGGGAAAACTGGGCTTAGGGTTCAGCGTTGTTGCCTCTGGCTACAAGGCCTTGTGTGGTTTTTACTCTTTAGCCCTCGGTTCCCTATTGTATAAAAGGCAACAGTGGCACCTGCGTGCTCTCTCTCTCTTAGGATCAGATGAGAATATACTAAAAAATGGATCAGAATTTGCAGAGTCTGGGGTCAGCAATACATGGCATCACTGTGCTTCAGGAGTCCTGAGACACCTCTCCATTAGAGCCTAGTGCTACCCAGCACTCCTCTCCCCTTTTCCCATTCCTTGGTAGTGGTCAACATTAGTTGGCCTGACACCAGTGTCCAAAAGGTGGTGTGACATAAAAGAGGCACCTCCTGGGGAGTGAGATGACCTGGATTGCAGCCCTGACCATGCCAGGCTAACCATATGGCCTTGAGCCTTGAGCTCTCTAAGTGGGCTCACCTCCCTGTCTTCAGCCACTTGTGGAAAGCACACCCCCAGAGGGCGGGCCCCATGCTGAGGGCCCACGGGCACACAGCCTCCAAGGTGCCTTCTCACCCACAGAAGTTCGCAGCTACTAGGGCCCCGTCTTCTCAGAAACACTGAAGCAGTGGTTGGCGGCAGCAGCAAACCTTGCTTGTTTGAGAGGCAAAGAAGATCAAAGTTAAGCACCCCCAACCCCAAAAGACTTGGACAAACTGTAAAACCCACAAAACTGTAAGTACACTACTGGCCGGGTACAGTGGCTTGCACCTGTAATCCTAGCACTTTGAGAGGCTAAAGTAGGAGGATTGCTTGAGCCCAGGAGTTTGAGATCAGCTTGGGCAATGTAGCAAGGCCTTGTTTCTAAAAAGGGGGGAAAAAAAACCACTTACCTGACTGTGGTGGCACATGCCTGTATTCCCAGCTACTGAGGAGGCTGAGGTGGAAGAAGCCCTTGAGCCTAGGAGTTTGACATTGCAGTGAGTTATGACTGGGCCACAGAGGTATACCCTGTCTCTAAATAATAATAATAATAAACAAAAAATAGAACTTGGAAGAAACAGAGACATTGCAGAAAGTTTCAAAGAAATTATAATTTATATTAGCTAGACGTGGTGGCTCACGCCTGTAATCCCAGCACTTTGGGAGGCCAAGGTAGGTGGGTGGATCACCTGAGGTCAGGAGTTCAAGACCAGTCTGGCCAACATGGTGAAAGCCCATCTCTTAAAAAATATAAAAATTAGCCAGGCATGATGGAGAGTACCTGTAATCCCAGCTACTCTGGAGGTTGAGGTGGGAGAACTGTTTGACCTTGGGAGGCGGAGGTTGCAGTGAGTTGAGATCATGCCATTGCCCTCCAGCCTGGGGACAGAGTGAGACTCTTGTCTCAAAAAAAAAAAAAAAAGAAAAAACATTATATTTTATATATTCAAGAAAAGATAGTAAATCTATAGAACACAACCAGGACACTATAAAGAGAAAAAGAACAATTGAAGAACAAGAGCAATCTTAGAAATTTAAAATATGATAGATAAAATTTTTAAAATTCTATAAAATTTGGAAGTTAGTCAAGGAATTCTTCCAGAAAGTTAAATTTTAAAAAACAAAATAGAAAATAGGTGAGAAATAGAAATGGAAATTTTGAGAGTAAATCCAGAAGGCTCAATATTTAGAAGAAAAACAGAAGAGAATGTAAGGGAGGAAATGTAAAGAAAGAAGAAATCTCTGAGAGCTGAAGAATGTGTCTGTACGTTAAAAATGTCTAACAAGGCCCAGCATAATGATGAAAGACACCCATAACGAGGCATATTGTGGTGAAATTTGAGATCACAGGGAATAAAATGAAGATCCTAAAAACTTCCAGAAAGAAAAAAAAACAAAACAAACAGGTCATACCCAAGGATCAGGAATAGAACTGGCATGGAATGTCTCAATGACTTTGGAAACTTGAAGACAGTGAGACAACACCTCTAATTATATTTTCAACCCAGAATTCTCTCCCCAACCTATCAGTCAAATGTGATGGTAGAAAGAAACTTGTTTCAGCTGTACAGAGTTATACAGCAAAAATTTACTTCCCTGGCATTCCTTCTCTGGAAGCTAGTCGAGAATGTGTTCCCATCCTAAAGAGGGACCACATTGAGCAAAGAAGTCATGGAATCCAGGAAACAGGGTCATCACAAGAGAGAAGTGGAAGGAATCCCACATGGTTCTCAATGACTAATATGTGCTTAACTTTCATTATGACAGTGTGGATTTAACAAAAATTGAGCTAAAATAATTGCATATCGAGAGAAGATAAGAGTTGGTATAATTGAGTTAAAAATCTTGATCCCCTATAATAGAAATCAGGACATTTCTGAATCTGGTGAATGAAGAACAGTAATATAGCCATGTTAATTAGGCACATGGAGGAAGAAACTGCTTTAAGAAGTGATGACGAATTTTAAGTAAAGTGAATTTTACCGAAGTTTTTAAAAATGAGGAGCAGGAGCTGGATTATTGAATGGGCACATGTGTTGACTTTTAAAATAAAGTTTAAAATTGAAAAATTTATGTTCATTGTAAAACCTTCAATACAGAAAATGTTGAAGGAAAAGAAAACTTTCGAGAGGTAATCAGTTAGCACTTTAGTCTCTATCCTTCCTAATACATATATTTGACCCTTACAGAGTACTATATGGAGATTTTTAATGATTTTTAGTTGTGGAAGTGATGGAATTATTTCCAAACATGTCATCCTAGTATTCCTGATACTCTTTTTTTTTATGTAGCAAAATAACTTTTTGTTTTAATATATATGAGATTTGCTTCATCATTTTAAATGCCTTGAGTCTCTTACAGAGCTGTGCCATACTTATTTTAGCCAGTCTCCTACTGTTGGATACTCAGGTTCTTCCCAATTTGCCACTATAAACACCGTCACAGTGAACATATTTATACATAGAACTTTCATACATTTTGCTGGTTATTTCCTGAGGATATACTCCTGAATATAGCATTGTCAAGTCAAATGTATGCACTTGAAACGTTTTACCAGTTTAGCTCAACAGCATTTAGTTAGCATTTATTCAGCTGGTATTACAGCTGATCAGGTTGGAGAGACAAGGCATACATATCAGAGACGTGTGGTTTCTACGTAAATATGACAAATGAGTGACGTAAGTGAGCCTGCAGGCTGCTCAGAGAAAACTTCATGGAAGCTGTGGAACTTGAGCCAGGAATGAAACTCTGGTTGAATTTAGATAGGCTGGGTCGGGGGAGGAGGCCAGGATGGAATATCCCTTGTACAAAGGCATGTTCTGAAGGTGGCCATGGGACCATTAGCCCTTAAAGTAATCTCAGTCTGCTCAGCCTTTGGCCACCTGCTATACCTTAGTCTGCCATCATTACTGCCTAAAAGACTTGAATATTCCCACCTTGCATAGGTGTCAAGAAAACTCACACCTGATAAAAGGGCAAGTAGAGAGAAGCCACAGGATAAGGGCACTTTGTAACTTAAAGGAGAGACAGCAAGTAGTCCAGTCAAATTAGGGGATTCCTGTCAAGGCAGACATAATAGAAGAAATGAAAGAGAACTTAAAATATTAATAAAACCTTGAAGAAAAATAGGAGAACTTTCAAATTCAGGGTAGGCAAATATTTGGACAGAGCACAAAAAGCACCTTGATTTAGTTTGCTACTGCTGCCATGACAAATTACCACAAATTTGGCATGTTAAAGCAATACAAATGTATTATCTTATAGTTCCCTTAGACTGGAAATGCAGTGTGTTCACTAGGTCTTTGCGTATAGTCTCACAACACCAAAATCATTGTCAGCAGGGCTGGATTTATTTAGAAGGCCTCTGGAGGAAAATCTGTTTCCTTGCCCATTCACGTTGTTGGCAGAATTCAGTTGCTAGTGGTTTTAAATTTTAGGAGCCCATTTTTTTGTCTAGCTGTCAGTTAAGGTCTGTTCCCAGTTCATAGAGCCCACTCACATTTCTCTTGTGAGCTTGCAGTCCTCTTCCTCCATTTTCAAAGCTGGACAGTGGCAGGTCTAGTGCCTTTCATGCTTTGAATCTCTGCTGCCTCTTCTTCCACTGTTATGTCTTTATGATTCACCCTAAGGCTTTCCTCTTCTACTTTTAAGGGCTCCTGTGATAGATTTAGCCCATCCGCATAATATATCTGAAGATCCCTTAATCACATCTGTAAAGTCCCTTTTGCCATGTAATGTAATCTATTCCTAGTTTCTGAGGATTAGGACATGAATACTTTTTGTCAGGGAGGGGGCTTTTTTGCCTACCACTTCCTAAAATTTAAAAAGGATACATTGAATTTTATCAGAATAAGAAATTGCTCTCTGTAAGAGATATCATTGAGAAAATGAATAGATGAACCACAAACTGGAAAAAAAATACTCTCAACACATATATTTCACAAAGGACAAATAGTAAAAAAGCAAACAACCCAATTTTTAAAATAAGCAAAAGACTTGAGCAGACATTAGACAAAATTAGTTATACAAATGAACAATAAGCACATGGTAAAATGATGCTTAACATCATTAGTCCTCACGGAACCACAAATTAAAACACATTTGTTAGAATGGCTTACAAAACAAACCCACTAATTCTACCCAACTGGAACTTTTGTATATTGCTGGTAGGAGTGTGAAATGATACAAACACGTTGGAAAACTATTAGTTTCTCA